AAAAAGTTGAGGAAAAACAAATTAGACTGCAAAATAACAATTTTTCCTGAGTGTATTTCTATTCTGTTGAGCATCCAAAGATAATTTTCCATCATTTTCAGTAGTATATAGCAACTTTCTCTTGGAGACTGCAATCAGATCGGCTTGGTCCACATTCAGGATTAGAAACTGAATGTTCTCATTTTTCTGTTTCCTTTCCTCAATATTTTACTTTTCCTTCATCCACAGCAATGCCTTCTTTAACCTTAATTTCCCAGTTTTAGCTAAAGAGGAAAACTGTGTGATAAAATTTCCTTGAAGTTACAGAGGTTTCATTTCTTGTCATGCCTGCTAAAAGGTTTACATTTTCAAGAAGGCGGTGGAAACAATAATAAACGACTCTTTGAGAAAATACTTTGGAATGAGTCCAGCTCTTCTCAATGTACCTGAAAACAAAATACTTGTATTTGAAGACTGTTTTACTTGTAAGGTAACAACCACTAAAATATGCTTATTGCCTTGACCCATAATTTCTTACTGCTTAGGTACAATTAAAGGTGACTAGATTTGTAGTTTGCACTTCAGAAAATTATGAGCTGCTCCATGGCAATTTATGGTCTCTAGATAGCTTATTTCTCTAATTTTATTTCTTTAGGGGTTTTCCCTAAGTTTATTCATTACTTCTCCAAATGGTAAATATATGACTTGAGGTATCAAAACTTATCTAAGCCTATGTAACTTGTGACCAGGGCTAAATTCATGTGTGGGGATGTGAGTCACTGTTTTGTAATTAGTGACTACTAGCTTGGCCAGTAAGAACTACCAGGAGATAGACCACTCTTGAAATTTTTGTCCTTTACCAATCTTCTGAGAATCCATTCTGATCTCCTTCCTTGTAATAAATTAGACAAAATTCAAAGCATCATTACCTTAGAACAATGTTTTTATTTTGTTAAAGTTCAGAGCTCCCAATTTTGTAAATAATATACAGTCTCAAAGCATTACGGAAGTCTCTCCTATTCTCCCTTTTCAATTTTTGTCTTTTTGTCCAAGTTTGTGCCTAATTCATATTAGAACGTCTACAAGACTCGTGGAGCTGTGTGGTCACCAGTGGGGCCCAGATTTTCTGAAGTCTGAAGTGTATATGATTTTCATGACCCATTTTAAGAAACACAATAAAGAGTTATGAATAGTAAGCAATGTACAAATGTTTACTTAGAATGAGTAATGTCATGTTTTAGTATAACTTTTAAGAGCTTACTACTACCACAAAGAGAAAAATCCTGAAAAAATATACCTTTTCTTGTTAACCAACTGCCTAATATATATTTTTATTTTTTGACTATAATCTTTTGATCATCTTTTCATGGAATGCCAATTTTGTAATATTTTTATACAGAAAATAGAAAGGTAATTCAATTTTTCACCAAGCAACACTGATCAAAATATACAGAATTTTTCAAAAACTTTCTACTTCTACAACTTATTGTTCATGTCATAAAATTTTAGGATTGTCAAATTTAGAAAAAATCTTTACCAAGCTTCTTTCATATACGGATTGTAAGATTTCAGGTTATTACTGAGTATACTTTGGAAAGGGGAGAACTTCTATTTTGATTGAGAGTTAGTAAAAGTCAAACCTCACTCATAATTTTATGCAATGATTATTGGAAGAATCTTCCACAGTCTAACTTATGTTTCCAGATATTTCAAAATTCATTTCTCCTTCAGTATCTGGGACTAAAAATTATGGGCACTTTTGTATAAAATGCTGAGTGAACTGTCACAGGAAATGGTACAGGAAACGGTCGGAATTTTTCAGGAAGCAAATCCTAAGCAGGGTAGCTAATAGTGATATGGCTTTGCATGGAATTGACTGTGAACCACATAAGTACATTCCCCTGATTATAACACTCCACAGCTGCTCTAGGACCTCCTGCCAGGAGGGGAAATATGATGCAACAGAAGTTGCAGTAGAAAATGACAATAGTCTTAACTGACTACAATAAAAATATCTTACTTTTGTAAATTTTTCTAAAGCATACAACCATGCAAACATATTACTAGGGACTAATCTTCATTAGTTTCATGGTAAACACATCCCTGGCTATTACTACAATAAAAAGTGTCCTTTCCAGTCCTTAGTA